ATGTATTATTGGTTGCTGAATATGGATGAAGGGAAAGAGCACTGTTTAAATTTAATTGATCAAAAGTTTTCAGCATAATTAACATTGGGTTTGCAATTAAGAGGAAGTGTTATATCTCCAACCCTACAAAATTTATTTATTAGGTGTGGAAACTAACGGTTACAAAAACAATTTCATTCCAAAAATAAGGATGTAAATATTTTTACCTTTTTTGAAAAAGTAGTACATATGTACTGAGTAATAGTAAAACAGTAATGCTACGTAAAATACACTTTGAGATTTTAACGGAAAAACACATTTTAGGGCCCCTCATACAGAGAAAGCATCCTGTCTCCACATATGTTTACATATCCTTCCATCTGTCAACAATATTAATGCCTAAACCATTTATAGGATTTTTTCCCCTTCAAAATGAACATTCTCTGATCTGCCCTGACGTGCTGCCCTGTGAATTTGAAACAATTTTGTTCAATTCTGGGAGCATTTCACGTGAAGCCAGTGGAAAATTTTCAAAATTTTCTCCAAAATGGCTCCAAATTTTTAAATTTCATGCTAGAGCAAAATACACAGATAAAGATTTTAAAAAATTCACTGATAAAGATATAGTTAACAATAAACGCATTTTCATTATTAACTCAGAATTTTCTGAAATTGCAAAACTTTCTAATTTTTTTGGTCCCTATCATTAACAATGTTATTGAGAATAGAGAGATTTTTTTTCATTTTAAATTTCTTCTTTGGAATTAATTATTTAATCACAAGTATATGTTTTTTAAATGTTGTAGTTTATGTGGAATTTTGAGATGAATGTGAACAAACATTAAAAACAAAAAACTTTCTTTTTAAATGGTTCCAATTTTTTCTCTAAATATTTTCCACATGTAGAGTTAAATACACAAAATAACATGACATCAACATCATTTTGATGTATTCTTTCAATTTTTCAAAATTCACAGTCTTTTGATTTTTTAATTTCAGAAAAATATTAAATCATTAATATTTACATTGCAGGTGTTTTTATGATTATTGCATTTTTTTAGAACAAGTGCTTTGAATTATCCCTTATGAAGTTTCTCAAATACTCATTGAAAATGAACTAAAATTTGTGCATCATAGAATTTTCTTGTG